AGGGGGGGGGGGGCGGGGGGCCGTCGGGTGGCTGGCTCGAGCCATGCCAGGTGCAGGGTCTGCTGGCTGGGTGCTGGCCGGCTTGCACCTGGCACGGGCACCGTAGCCAGCCCGTGCCCCTTTAAGGGGGCCGGGGCGGAAGGGGGGCAATAGAGTTTCCCTGGTGTTGGCCAGAATGGCCACCAGGGAAAGCTGGGGAGGTCTAGCCTCCCACTAGTTCGAATTAAGGGGCTACACAGCCCTTAATAGTAAGTTCGAACTAGGCTTAGTCCTCGTAAAATGAGGTTTACCTAGTTCAAACTAAGCGCTCCGCTAGTTCGAATTAAGTTTGAACTAGCGGAGCGCTAGTGTAGCGCCTATCAAAGTTAATTCGAACTAACGTCCGTTAGTTCGAATTAACTTTGTAGTGTAGACATACCCTGTATTTCTAACAACTGAATTCTCCCATTACTTTACCAGTGTCTTCTCAATAACTTGGGTGACCTCCCCCAAAAGGTATCCTCAGTATGGAACGATACCATGGCATAATTTGAAAGCAGGGTCCCAACTATGGGATTATTTCCATCTGTTCCAGTTTTATATTCTCCCTCCCCAAGACTTTCATATTCCTCAACAGCACAGAGGTTGAGGATGGGACACCGCAGCTGTGTCCCAGGAAGTGTTCTCTGTGTACCTCTCTGTCTCTCTTAGCTCCTCCAGTTCAACCACTCTGGTCTCAAGAACCTATACTCAGGATACCACTACTAAAGGTAAGGTGTAGGATGAATACCAAACAGATTCTGTTACCAGCCAGGAACCCTCTAAATCCGTGGTCACCAACTCGTCGATCACGATCAACTGGTCTATCAGGAAGCCCTGACCAGTTGATTGCAAGGCTTTCGGGACCCCCCCATTTTCCCCCACCCTGAAGAAGTCCCACTACCTACCTCCAGCAATGAGGGAGTTAGTGCCGGCTTCCTGCAGGGTGGACAGAAGTCCAGCAGTTGCACGCCACTTTGAGGAAATACGCAGGCTGCTCCCTCTCTCCCAAACAGCTAGTGCCGTACCACAAAGCAGGTCTGTGGTGCGCTGGGGACTCTCTGCGCGAGGGGGGGAGGTAGGAGTCCTCAGAGGAGGTGCGCGCCAGGGCTTCCCTTCTCCGTGTTGGTGGGTGGGGGGAGGGGAAGAGGGTTAGAAGTCTCGTGAAGAGGCATGTGCCTGGGTTTCCCTCCTCTATAGAGGGGAAGAGGGAGGAATCCCCAGAGGAGGTGCATG